TGGGGCTGTGGTTTATAATTATTCTTATCACTGAATTAAATCCTGAAGGATAGCCAGCAAAAAAGCAAAATCACTCAATTTATTGTGTATACTTTTGTGTGGATATTTTATAATTTAAAATTTTCTGGGAAGTTGGAACCACTGTGTGTCTCAGCTAGCCCAAATGAATGGGGCTATAAGTATGACCATCCAGTCCTGATTTCTAACAAGACCAGAACCAGGGAGCACAAAGCAAGCTCAGCTTTGCCTTTGAATCTCTGCGTGGCGCTGGGTAGCTGACTTCAGACAAGCCGGTCTTTGCCTAGCATGCAATGAGGTTCTACAAGGTAGGCTTCGGGAGCTATTTGAAAAAGTGAGGTTACAAAGTGTCAGAATGAGGATAGTGGCATTGATAGCAGACATTCAAAAGAAGGAAGCCATCAGGAGTGACACAGCCAGTGTATCAACCCTTAAATAATAAATGCATCGCAAGTTAAACATTCATTTCATTTTTTTTGTAGATAATTAAACTTGTTAACTAGGGGTTTGAGAGATGAATCAGTAGTTTAATGCCCTTATTCTTGGGGAGGACCCTGGTACAGTTCCCAGCATCCACATGGCACCTAACAATTCTCTGTAAGTTCAGTTTCAAGGCATGTAAAATCCTCCTTGGGCTTCTTGGGCACTGGGTATTCATGTGGTGCACACACATATATTCAGGGAAAACACTCATGCTCATCAAAAAATATACATAAACGTTTAAAAAAAAGATGTTAATTAAACTAAGAAACTGGTTTTCCAGGAGCCTCATGGTGAATCTTCTTTTGTAAATGGGCCAATCGCTGTTGTGTATCCTTTATCTTATTTTTGAACAGCAGCTTTTCCTGAAATGGGGCTGTATACCTGTTTGGAATACTAAGGATTGTCGTCCCCATCCCTTCCTCCCCCATCTTATGCCTCTGCTTGAGCATACCTGTTTGCTTTTCTGGTTGGCAAATATTCATTACAAATTGCAGAGGCAGCAGCAAATTCCACTGGGATCCTAGGGCCTGAGCTGAAGGGAGAGTACCAATTCCCAGGAGACAGCAGACCGATTCCCAGATTTCACCAATCTTGTCCTCCTTTGGGCATTTAACTGAAACCTCACACAACATTTAGGTTAAAATTCAAGGGAAAGTGCTTGAACCTTGATAAGAATCTCAGTTATAACCCTGGGAGAGCAGACACGTGCCACATTTGATAGAGGGGGCCCTTCTAGGACATCTGTCTTTGATAACTTTTAATGCAAAGAGTGGATCCTTTGAAATTAATTGGTCGGTACAAAGCCATGCTTTTAATAATGCAGTGGAGAACTTTTTGTTATGTAGAGCAGCCCTTAACCAGTGCCGACTTTGAGGATTGGATTAATTTTTCATGAGTTCCTGGCGCTCTGGGCTACTGTTCCAGCATCTTCTGGTTTCTCAGGAGCCTCCCACCCCCATACACACACATTCAGGGCGATGTGTTTTAAGTGCTTCTGTATGAAAGAAGAATTGTGGCACTCCATTTTATTTTTTTTATTTTTATTTTATTTTTTTTTTTTGCCTTTGGTCACAATCTGGAAGAGTGATTCTGGGGACTTTGAGAATTCTCAGGTAGACACTTAAGAGCTCCAGAGACAATCTTACTTTCATAGCAAATGTTCTTTCTTGGGCTTCCGTTTTCCTTGCCTCCATGTGCCCTGTGTGCCTGCAGTATACACAGTGTCATGGACCCAGGAAGGCAGGTGGAAGGAAGCAAGCTTCACTCCCACAGAGCTGCCTTCTCTTAAACCCCAAGATTTTATTTTAAGGAGGGCTGAGATTGGTCTCTTATCTTGCACCACCCTTTATCACCAGGAAGGGATCCGGGGACTCTCTGTCATTCTGTCGGCCTCTGAGTCTGGTGGCGAGTCTCATCTAAGGGAAGTGGAAGATGCTAACTTCATGGTTGGCTGGCAAGCGGGGTCTGGTTTTTCTGGAGCAACTCCCTGTGTGCCCACCCACACAGACTGCATCCTCTCTCCGAACACCTGTCATCTGTAAGTGTGGAAGGGAAATACACTAGAAAATTAACTCCAACCTGCTTTTTCCTTCCTAACACTGCATCGTAAGTGAATGAACTGAGGGGTGTCTGACATATCTTTATATAACAGTATTAAAGAAGAAAGGGAGGGAGGCAGAGAAAGGAGGAGGAAAGACATGATGGACAAAGGTGGTCCAAGTGTTGAGGCAACTGTAAATGAGATGCACAAGGAGGAAAGCTCTGGAAATCCTTCCCCCGAGATGAGGGAAGTGAATGAATGTCCCATGGGTCTTAGCTCCATCAGCAGTGACAACCCTCAGTGTTTCCCTCTGTGTGTCTGGTACCCTGGCCAGACTGAGATCCGTGAAATGCAAAGACAATGGCGTATCTATGCCTGGTGTTCAACATACTGCCTAAGTGTCGGTAAATGTTTGTTGAATGAAACTTTGAGCAAATTAATGAAAGTGCCATGTAAATTAGTCACACTCTCCTCTCAAAAGAAATGCTGCTTTAAAAAAAAATAATTGATGAGTCTGGAGAGATGGCTCAGTGGTTAAGAGCACTGGCTGCTCTTCCAGAGGTCCTGAGTTCAAATTCCCAGCAACCACATGGTGGTTCATGGGATCTGAAGCTCTCTTGGGCATGCACACAGACAGAGCACTCATACATAAATAAGGTTTTTGAAAAAAATTGGTGGATATCCTAGGTACGCAGAATAGATTCATAGAATGGTGCTGTACACTTTTACTAGTTTAGGCATGTAATATAGGAGACACAGCAGAGGGTAACACTTGAGATTATTGGTCCAATAAAGAAACTGTGGAACAGCTGAACATTTTTGCAGCCTTCTTTATATATTGATTAACAGTACAACTATTAATCGCCACTTGCTCCAGAGTTTACCAGCTTCATATTAATGCACCAATCGTGCTTTGCAGAGGGGTGAGCAGAAGCAAGGAAGCCTGAGATTTTTTAGCTCACTTTCAAGTCTGAATCAACAACAGCTTGGCGCCTGTTGGCAGGACATATCAGGTCATGATATGTATGCACAAACCCTTTTTCTCCCTTTCATTAAGGGATAATTGATTGAGGTTAGAAGATTGGAGAGTCCGGGGAGATTTTTAATCCAGTGCCATCATGGAAAGCTCGCTACATCAATATGAAGCTTCCATGGGGAGTGGGGGAGTAATTGAGATGCCACGCCAGCTGGAATCCAGATGAAGACACATTTGGAAGCTTAATCACAATCATGTTCTACACTAAATATTCATCCGTCTGTCTCCCAAAGAGGACAGGAAATTAAGCTGTCAAGGGCAGGAGGGATGAGGGCTTACTGAAAGAAGAAACCCACACCTTCGCCTTAATCTCGGAACAGGCAAGGGTGGTTTAGAAGGTGGAGGCAAAAGCCTCGACTTTGCGGTTGTATTTCCTAAGAAATTTTGAGCTGTTTATACACAATTTATCAGCTTTACAGTTACCAGAACGAACTGTTAAAGCAACTTAGTCTCCTTACTGTGGGAGAAGTATGGATGGGCAATGCCATCTCAACAGAAAAATGCTTTATTGAGCCAATATGGAGACATATTAAAGTTTTGTAAACACTCAAGAGGAGCAGGGGAATTCCTGAACAGAGCCCTGGGCTGTAACTGCACGGGCCTTGATGTGCAGTGTCCCAGAAGTTAACTAAACCCTGAACATAGTCGGTAGCAATTACGTGGCATGCTCTAGGCTTCCTTCTCAATTCCGTGTTTGAATGCAAATTCCCAAGGTAAGCTCTTTGTAATTCCATCTAAAACGGTCCCTAGCATCTAAATGTCATTTCAAAGAGCTGTTTGGGCAATGTCTAGCTGCCCCAAATTAAATAATTTGTCTCCTTTGAAATTCTGGCCAAAGGTGTGAATCCAGCATTGGCTTCTGCTCCGAGCTGGTGAAGCTCTGTATCGTGGTGTCATTGTGTATTTTGAGGTTGTATGAGGTAAAATGCTTTGGTTGCAAGTAACAGAGCGGTTCCTGCTGGAGTGACGTGTGCAAAGATGCCTTCTCATGTGGTCAGGGTCAGGTAGGGGAAAGTTAGGTTCCTGCTCTGCCTCTGAGGTTCTCTTGATGCTCTGCCTCCTTGGTGCACTGGGCTCATGCTCCGTCTCTGTACAGGATAGAAGGAATGCCCAGCACAGGGGGAGATACTGGCTCTGGACCTTTGTCTCAGGAATGAGTAAGGTTCTCCTAGAAGTTCATCCTCAGAACTTGTCTAACCCATTCCTTTATCTTATGGGCCACTTTTGATGGTCGGTGGCGATAGAACACATCCATCTCCTTTGTATAGGTATTGTCAAGTCAAGCGACCCCTTACCTGAGCCCCATTTCCATCACAAGATAACCCCCGTGACCTTCAGACAGCCCAGTGAGCTTCTCCGCCCGTGTTATAAAACAAGACTGTGGGCTCCAGTCCCACAGGGAACTTTCGGGAATGGAAACATGGAGCTGGGTATTGCTCTGTTGTCGTTACTGTGGACATGGTTTGGAGCCAGCTTGCTAATGAGCTTGCAGTCTTTTTTCCCTACATATAAGGAAAATATTACCTGGGTAAGAAAGCTTAGAAGCCCATATTGTTTTGTCTAGTTCAGTATAAAGTGTAATTTAATTTATATGTGCGTATAGCTATTTTGTTTAAACGTATCATATACTTGCATACACATTATATATAAACACATACGCACACACGCGTGCCCACACACCCAGCCATCAGTCACAGGGGAAATCTCCCAGGCTGTCCATTGTCCCAGGAATTCTTAGTGTTCTGGTCTAGCGCTGTTGAGAGTGTCACTCACCAACCGGTGCCCGTTGGCACCCTGGGTGTTCCTGGTTTGTGAAACAGGGAGTAAACATTTTTAGTAATTTGACACCTCTGTGACACTGAAGTTGATGTTCATTCTTCTAATACTTCCTCTTCATTGTATTATACTCGGATACATTGGCCGTTTATTTTTATTTTTTTATTTTCTTATCTACAGTCCAAAACTTAGTGAACAGCAGCCTGGCCGGCCCTTCACAGAGGGCGGTGAGAAGCCAGTCTGGACAGACACATACGGAAAGCACTCCATCCTTTGCTAAGGTTTATTCGGAGTGCGAGAGAGGGTCACACAAAATTGTCAAACAGCACTGTGAACAAAATGATGTAGAATAATGTCATCAGGAAGTCATAGACGGCCCAGTGCCACATGAGTGGCTGGGATAACACTTGCCAGAGATTTCTGCTGGACAGAGTCTCAAGGTGGCCGTCAGAGGAAGAGTCTTCCTTAAGCAGGTAGATTTGTTTGGCCTTCCCTTGCATCCTGGGCCTCCTGTCAGAGTCGTCTCTGTCCCTTCTCACTGCAGCCTGCCGGGTTAATCTCCTGGTGAGCCTGGGCCTGCAGAATGAAGCCGGATGGGGTTATATGTCAGACGGCAACAGACACACACTAAATATCTTGCTCCATTATCCCAGACGGGGCTTTGATGTTAGCGTAGAACACGTCCGATTACACGGGACGTTATGTCATGTGTCAAATCAGTGTTGGGGCTCCATCCCGACACTTTAATTAGTGCCAGGGAAGTGGGGGTGGGGGGAAGTATATTATTTTTCAGTTTCAAGGCAAGGGCCCTAACTCCTGTCGAGAACTGTTGGGTTATGCACTAGCGTGAAAGCAGCCTGCTCTTTACAGATGCAACCTGTACACACCACTAGGGTAATGGCCGTGTGTCATCTAACTAAAGGAGCTTGAGCCAGGAGGCAGAAAGCTTTGTGAAACTCTAACCAATAGGAGCAACTGGTGTGAGCGAGCCACACTGAGTGTTCTCCTCTTCAGTGACATCAGTGTTTACTGTCTTCTTTGAAGATCTGTCTGGCGTTGAAAGGTGGCTTCTGACACTTGTGTGTGTCTCATGGGCACATCAGTTGCTGCAGTGAGACCGTACCTGTATTTTATTGTAGTAAATGATGCTACATGAATGAGTAGGCATGGGGGTGAAGGGAGAGGACACAGGCTTCTAAGAGCTCTCAGTTGCTTGGAGCTCCGACTTCACATTGTATTTTGCTTGTCGTCTGTTGGTTGATGCCAGTACTTCTCAGTTCTGTAGCTTGAGTTCAATGCTACCCTGTACCCAGAAAAGTGTCCAGGCATGACTGATAGCCCTTGGGCATTTGTGAATGTGGCCCCGAGTAATGAGAAACCTTCACTTTACTCTCTGCACCCCGAAGAAGGTCATCCAACTTAATGCCGAGTGAAGTCTCGGAGCGTCAATAAGCCGCATTCATTTTGACATCTAGACTCTGTGTAATTAAGACCTGGGGTCTGGCGCTTGCTTTATCAGTGTGTGTCAATTCTCATTTCCATAGACTTTGGTTTTTCCCACATCTCTGCAGAGCCAATGCCCCCATCCTCAAATGCTATTAACAATGAAAGGGCTGAGGATAGAGTTACCGCCCATCTTGTCTCTAATCCCTGCTTAACATTTCCCTTAAAAAGGAACATTGCTCCATTCGGAAATTAAACGCTCTGTGTTTAGATGTTCTTTATGGCAGGAGAAAAGAGGTAGATTTTCCATTGCTTTCTTCTGAGTTTGGAAAACATCCGATTCCATGCCCTTTATTCAGCTGTGAAGCAGAAGCTGCAGCGTGACCACAGGGTGGCTTTGTCATTTCTTTTATACACCCCGCTTGGTGCTGTGTGCCGCAGACCCAGGCTGGCCTCCCCAGGTGTGATAATAATGTGTGTATGCAGGCCGAAGACTGCCGGCCTAACTGGATTCTAGAGGAAGGTGGTGACTTCTAGGGCTGGTGGCCACTGTCCTTTTACCCTCTGAACTGTCTCCTGGACAACAGCATTTGGGATCCAACCATTTGAATGCTTCTTCTCTGACTGGATACCTTGTACCCATTAGCCAGAGAATTGACCTGGGTTCAATTCCCAGCACCCACACAGTGGCTAACAACCGTCTGGAACTCCAGTTCCAGGGGATCCAAAGCCCTCTTCTCCAAGGGCACCAGGCATGCAGGTGGTTTGTTTCTCCAGCTGGAATGAGAAAACCCATATCCAGGAGATGTTAGAGCAGCTTCACAAGACCATCTATGCACTCAGTTCTGTGACCAGGGAATAAAGAGTGTGGCGTCTGTGGATCTTCATTTTCTCATCTAAAAGAACTGCTCGTCATAAAACTTAAGAGTAGGGAGACAAGCCTAATAAGAGGCTCAGAGAAAGATCCGGGAGTGAAGGAAGACATCAAGAAAGCATTCACAGGGTGGCACGGTGGCACATACATGTTGTTCCACTCCGTTTAGAAAACTATAAATGGAGGACTGTTTGAGATCAGGAGTTCCAGACCAGCCTGGACAATGTAGTGAGACCCTTCCTCCTCCTCCCCCCACAAAAAAATTGAAGTTGAGGGTTGCTTTCAAGGAAGCTACTGTTCTATCTGTGTCCAGCACTACCCTTGAGAGAACTGCTACCCCTTTCTGGTCCTCTGATAGTTTATCTTAGACATAAGTAATAGATAATTACATTGCTCACTTTGGGGTTGCTGCAGTGAGTTAGTGAAATAATTCTTATAACATACTTAACACAGTGGTTGACGTTGACGCTCGAGTCACGTTGCCTATGAGTTCTGCTCTCACTACTGATGCTCTATTAGTTATCAAGAAGCCATCCTGTCCTGAATGAGACAGACTCAGTCTACCAAGGACTCCTTGGTAGCTACCCTCAGTCCCAGAGTTCCTAAGAAGTTTTAAAAGCAGCCAAGAATCTAGGCTAGTACCTCTCTACCTCAGTTTACCTAAGAATGGTCTCTGAGGGCTTCAAGTGATGCTCTCTCTGGTTCCTGAGCAGAAATGTCGGCTGAGTTCTACTGAATCCAGCTGTGAGGTGCTTGAAAAGCTCATTAGGTGATTCCATTGTCAAGCACCACCGACCTGGTAGAACGACCCGTTGAGTTTGATGTTGAAAAAAAAAAAGTGTTTATCGACCCTGATATCACTAGTGGTAGTATTGTTTACATTTCCTTAAAACTAAAGCGTGGGTGCTGGCGGTGTGTGGCTCTGAGTGGCAGGGTGCCTGGCTAGTGTATACAGAGTTCTAGGTTCAACCTTCAGTACTGAAATCACAATTATTAACTAACGTGTGGAGAGAAACTTGTATAAATTAGATATAAATAAGCGCTAAGTTAAAAATTACATCTTTATGGTAAATACTTAAATGAGGCTTGAGAAGTGTCCTAGAACAAGTATGTTTATAAGTATACCTCATAATGCACATAGCCATTAAGTTGGTTGGGTAAGGAAGTGGAGATGATCAGGGAGGAACTGGGGGAGAGGAAACCATGATCAAAATATATTGTATGAAAAATTTTAATTAAATCTTTGAGTGCAAGTAAAAATTCTGAGTTAAGAACAGAATTGTTCTTTTCTCTCTCCCCTTCCTCCTCCTCCTTTTCTCTCTTCTCTCCTCTCTCTCTCTCTCTCTCTCTCTCTCTCTCTCTCTCTCTCTCTCTCTCTCTTCTATCCTCCTTCTCCCTCCCCCCTCTCTTACTTTTTTGAGACAGGGTCTCACTCTGTAGCTCTAGCTGTCCTGGAACTCACTTTGTAGACCAGGCTGATCTCGAACTCACAGAGATCAACCTGCTTCTGCCTCCCAAGTGCTGGGATTAAAGGTGTGCGCCACCAAGCCTGGCTTCTAGTAACTTATCTTCAACCTAGATTTTAAAAGATGTCATTCCATATTTACTCAAAACTGTAATTTTATTTACCCGGTAAATATCAACACAGTTGACAATAATAGTATCTCACCTTTCCCTTATGCTCTACCACTGGCAAAGCTTTCAGGCACCACTGGCAAAGCACTTTAAGTGGGCTTCCTAAGACCCCAGGGAAGCTGGACTTTTGCCCTCTTGGCACAGGTAGGGAAATTGTGACCCAAAAAAGTGAGTTAAGTTGCTGTGCTATTACACACAGTTCCATCACAGACGTACAGGACGGGAGCCAGACTGTCTGAATTGGGGGCACTTTTATTTTCCCCTCTCCTGCTAACTTGTCCATGCTGTCTGCTGTGCCTCCACATTAAATTATAAAAGCCCTTAAGGGTGCTTCTTGGACAGAGGAAACCTACCCAACAGCCTCCCCTGGAGTGTCTTCTATTTGTGACCAGCTTGAGTCTTTCCTCGGGCCTTGGCCATCGTCATCCTGGTTATCCGTCAGTCCTGACCCTGCTTACTGAAATCCCTCCAATAGCTGCCTGGCTTGCTGTGCAGAAATCCACAGGCCTGCTCTGCTTGACCCATGCCTCCCATCCCCTGCTGCTCTGTTCTTGCTCATCAGGCCCCTGGCAGCTGCATCTGCTCCGGATTCCTCGGCAAGGCCAGGCCCTTGACCCTTCCTGCCTGGGCAGCACTGTGTTCTGCAACAAAACATGATTTCTCTTCACTTTGCCAAGAAAACCTATCTTCACATACTGCAAGCCCAGCTTCCTCGTTGGTCGAGACCTCTCTTTGCCCTTCCATGTCGCCAACAGATCTTGCCTTAGTTGCTCTTGTTCTGATTTGGATTTGTTGGGGTGGGGGTGGGGCTGTCAGTTCAATCCCAAAGCATCACCTCCCTATTTTTTTTTTCTAACACTCTAGTCTTAGTGCTTAGCACATAGTAACTGCTCACTGTGTATTGACTCAATGAGAACATGAATAAGTGGATGGGTAGCTTATTCATATTCTGCTGAGGGCTGGTACAGTTTTACCGTCTGTACCTGTTGCAAGCCAGAAGGTATGAATACCTGCACGAACTTCAAGGTTGTTCAGAGCTTCTCTGACTATATCATTTTGAAGTTGCTGCTTACACTGAATGCTCTTAAGATGTGTTTGCGCTTTTGACTGTATGTGCATATGCGAATGTGAGTGCAGATGCCTGAAGAGTCCACAAGAGGGCGTCTGACTCCCTGAAGCTCGAGTTACAGATGGTTCTGAGCCACCCTACCTGGTTCCTGGGAACCTAAACTCTGGTCCTCTGTAAGAGCATTTCATGTTCTTGGCCACTGGGCCAGCCCCGGTATGGTTATGCGGGACGGGGAATATGACATTGGAAGTGGCTTCCAAGCCAGGGAGGGCACGGCTTAGCTAACCCAGGAGTAGAATGCCCGGAGCCCAGCCTGGTCTCCTTTTCCCTGCTTCCCCAGAAGTCCCTTCTGATGACAGTTTCAGAATCACAGAATCTAGTAGATAAATAACACAGTACCAGAAACCAGAAATCCGTGTTGTCTTCCCAATGAGGCCAGTTTTAGGTAAATCGCTCCCACTAGCTTAAATTCAGTTTCTTTACCATGAAGTTGGGCATGATACTTCATACCACACTTAAGCCATTGGGTCATTTTGTGGATAATTATAAGGTAGA